CCTGATGCCAGCTCCTATGTGCTGGGTCATGTACAGATTCTTTTGGGTTTTCAGATCTTTATTCACCCCCTGGACATGTTGCTTGTTTGCGCATTTGGCGTTTTTTGGGTGAAAGTCCCGCTGCCGCTCGGGGATGCAAAATTCTCCCCCTGCTTTCTTCCAGGTTGGGAGGATTTCTTGGCTGGGCAATGAGGAGGGAATGCAAACAAGTTGAAACATGGAACCTGAATTCTGTATTATCAGAATGTTTTCAGGCCATGTGCTAATGGACTTGAATCGTGTTGCTTTTAGTGAAGCAAATGCAGTACTTGTCCATTCAGAAATTGCCATTGGCTTACTGGCATCATGGTCCATTAGACCTCCTTCTCCCTTGTTCTGAATGTCTTTAGTCTTGCTTGTGTATTGCACATTCTTTCCTAAATCTCCTACTGGATAAGGATTTGGGAGAACTACTTGGACATAAATACGCAAGCTGGAGTCCTGGAAAGGAACCTGGGACCTTGAATATCCTTGGAGTATGGTAGAGGATATACAAAACTTACATTTCTCAGCATATAAATTAAAAATTGAATGTTAGCATTTCTAAAGGACGCTTGCCATTGAAGTTAATGTGCCAATGAACAAAAAAGCCATTTAAAGTGTCACCTGAGTTCAGAGCATTCTGGATATTGATAAGACCACTTCTGTCTCATGTTTTCTCTCCCGTCAAAAAGTACTGTCTGCTATATCTACTGGAGGTGTCTCCACCTACTGATGATTGTACTTTACTCTGCAGCATACACAAAAGAGATTCTGTTCATAGCATTTCCACTTGGTCACCTGATAACCTGCTCTGTTGCAGAACATATGGATACTGATTTCTTCCCTCTCATCTTGAATTCTTGATCACACTCCGCTTATTTTTCTTGAATTACTCTGTCTGGAGCTTATTTTGGGCTATATTTTTAGAATATATACCTGCATAGCATGTGTCAAGGAACAGGTGGCCTCATGGCTTCGCAAGTTCTTTAAAAACAGGATATACTTGTATGCATAGAACTCTTTTACTTTCCTCACTATGCGGAGCTTTCAGACAGGACTGTTTAAGCTTGTAAAATTCATTTTGAATGGGGAGGTGCCGTTAGCACTCTAAAGTATATAACAAAATTTGCATGTTTTTAGTGCTTTGCAGTGTACTCCTCTACCTTATAAATCAAATAGCTGAGGGACAGATTTGATTGTAAGGCTATAAAACAGTGATTTATATTTAACTCTGTATTAAAATGTTAAGTGGTCATAACATACACAAAACAAAAATTGAATGACTCACTAAATCATGATTGACAAATACAGTTATGCTACAGACACACTGTCCGTGTCTGATCCCCTAATACCTACTTATTCTTGGGGAGAGATCCAAATTGGATTTATATTTCGCAGCCCAAGCAAACTGTCAGATCTGTCATTGTAAATCCCTCTCAAAACCTTTTTTTTTTTTTTTTTGGTGGTGGTACATTTTAGAACTAATTAGAACAAGGAAAGCCTTTTTACCTTGCTGAAGGAGTACAGAGGTCAGTTTGGATTTTGGGACAAGCTGTAAGGGTTTTGTGGAGAGAGGAGTGTTCCTGTTTTAAAGTAGTCATTGGATTGTCTTATTTTGTAGTTATTTTGAACAATGGTGCTTAAGAGGCAGCATGGGAAGTCTCAGTACTGGAGGGCCTGTAATCTAGAACATACAAAGACATGTTAAACCTGAAGAGTAGTAGCTTGACTATCTAGTACTCACAAACACAGTGAAGGGGAAAGGTGATCACATTCTCCTGACAACCTGCTGATAAATTTTAAGCCTTGTAATTGAACTTGCAGGCTGTTTCAGTGACAGGGATTGGTTCTCTAAAAGAGCATTTGTGCAACTGAGTGTTTTTCATATCATGAAGGATCGTTCACAACCTGTCTTGGTTTGTATCTGTTGAACAGACACTCAGATTACTGATCATTCAGCTAAAATTTTTAATTTTGGCCTTTTGTGTTCCCCTTTTTAAAACCAATTCTGATATATCTCACTACATTCTGGGTATTGTTCAGAGTAGTTCTGTTTCTTCTGTGGTGTCAGGATGGTCTTAAAACTTTTATAAGAGAGGTGCTTGAGGTGTTAGGGAGTCAACAGCCTTCATCTCACTCATTGCAGGGGGCGGTTGCCAGACTTCACATGATTTTTTTTCTCGGGGGGCAGGGAAGGATAATTTATCAGATTTTCCTATTGAGGTCAGTAGCACTGTTCATCTGGTTAAGCCCTTACTTAGGTTGTAAGCTCCTAGGAGGTCTTCCTTGCCTTTAAAGGTTGAATGTACCTGTGGGAGTACTGAAGAGTAACCGTGGTAGGCCTTGTCTTGGTAAGCCATGCTTTCTGTTATGGCAACTTTCTGGAAGTGCCAGGAGACTCAACTTCTTGCAGCTGCCCTGTCTTTCCTATTTCTAAATTAGAATCTGTTTGCAGGTCAGTCAAGCTCTCAACCAAATTTGATTCTCCTGAGTGGCAGACAAGCCAATGAATCATATATCTTGTTACTTCAGGGTATTTATCAAAATTTATCTTCAGACTTCAGTAGCTTGATACAGATTTGAGTATCTGCAGCATTCTTAGATGAATGAACTAGCTGCATTGTTTTGTCTCTCTTCCTCTAAGGCATATTCCTTAGAACTCACACTGTACTCACACAGCACTTGCAGTAAAGGACACAGTGCTTCAGATGTGGATTGCTTGAGTAGAAAGGAATAATAACATGCCTTGATTTGGTAGCTGTGCTTCTACTAAGGTGGTCCAGTATGTGATTATTGCTTCAGAGATATTGCTTCACTCATATTCCACTTCTTGTCCACCACAACTCCCCAGTCTTTTTCCAGGGTTGTCTTCTCTCCTCGTCCTTATGGGATACTTTAACTTCCCAGACATCAACTGGGAACACCATACTGCTGTGACAAGCAAGCCTGGGAAATTCCTGGGGTATGTTGAAGATAATTTCTTTTCACAAGTACTCAGTGAGCCAACTAGGAAAGATGCCCTCCTAGACTTGTTATTTGTCAATAGAGAAGGACTTGTGGGAGATGTGATGGTAGGTGGCTGTCTTGGCCACAGGGATCACATTGAACTTGGATGAGTTTAAAATTTTTGATGTAATGACAAAAATGGTCAGCAGAGTTGCTACCCTGGATTTCAAGAGAGCTAGCTTTTACCTACTCGGTGAGCTAGTTAGTAGTGTCCTCTGGGAATCTGCTTTTGAGGGCTTAGGGGTCCATGAATGCTGGTCAGTTTTTAAGAACCATCTTTTAAAAGTGTAATCCCTTTGTGTTGAAAGTCAAGAAAGCAGCATAGAAGACCAGTTTGGCTGAATAGGGAACTCTTCTTGGAACTCAGGAGGAAAAATAAGTTGTGTGATCTCTGGAAGCAAGGGCAGGCTTCACATGAAGGTTACAGAGCTGTGGTTTGCATATGCAGGGAGAAAACACAAAAGGCCAAAGCTTAATTAGAGTTGAAACTGGCCAGTGTTGTGTCAGACAACAAGAAAGGCTTTTTGAAGTACACTAATAGCAAGAAGAGGTCTAAGGAAGACATTGGACCGATCCTTGTTGAAGACAGTCACCTGACAAATCAGGATGAAGAAAAAGCATTCATTGGGGGTTTTTTTTGCCTCAGTCTCTAATAATACTGACAGACCTTGGGCTGCGCAGTCCTCTGAATTGGAGGACCACAATTGCGGGAACAGTGACTTTCCATTTGTGGACACTGAAATTGTAAGTTGAATGTTCATAAGTCCATGAGGCTGGATGGGATTCATCCCAGCGCACTGAAGGAGCCAGTGGATGTTACAGCAGGACCCCTCTCAATCATCTGCCAAAGGTCTTGGGAGTCTGGGGAAGTCCCTGCTGACTAGAAACTGGCCAATGTTATTCCAGTTTACAAAAAGGGCGTGAGGGAGGACCCAAGAAACTACAGACCTGTTAGACTAACCTCAGTACTTGGAAGAATTATGGAGAAGATCATACTGGGTGCTATTGAAAGGAATTTAAAGGACAATGGAATCATCAGGCACAGTCAACATGGGTTCACAAAGGGAAAGGCCTGTTTAACTAATTTGATTTCCTTCTATGGTAAGGTCACCCACCTAGAGGCTGAAGGGTGGATGTAGTTTTTCTGGATTTTAGTGATGCTTTTGATACTGTCCCTCACAGCATCCTTCTGGACAAGTTGTCCAGTTGCGAGATGAGCAGGTACACGGTGCACTGGCTGAAGAACTGGCTGAACGGCAGCACTCCAGGTGTTGTAGTGAATGGGGCTACATCTGCCTCGTGACCAGTCACCAGCAGTGTTCTTCAGGGTTCAATTCTAGGGACAGTTCTGTTGAATATTTTTATCAATGATTTGGATGCAGGATTTGAACACGCACCATTAGCAAGTTTGCTGATGATACTAAACTAGGAGGTGCTGCTGACCCTCTCAAGGGACAACAGGCCTTGCAGAGGGATCTAGATAGATTGGAGCATTGGGCTATGATTAATGGGATGAAATTTCACAAGAACAAATGCCAGATTCTTCACCTGAGATGGAGTAAGGCTGGACACCAGTA